TATAGCGAACATAGAAATAGAAACAAATTAATATGAATAATCTCAGAATGCAGTTCGCAGATTTTAAATATGCAACATTTCAATCATAATATAATATCCAGTCACAAACTAATTATTTAGTACGGTATCAGATAACAATAAATGGTATACTAAATATAAAAATATTAAACAACCAATATGACTAGTCTTGGTTATTAAATCAAAATTATTTTTTTGATGGAACTTGAAAATTCTAAATCTGTACACCCAATTACTACATTTATATGGTGGCATTAAAATGCTTGCACTTTGTAGTTTACAATTTAAAACCGATTAAATTTCAAACGGTTTTAAGGTTTTAACATCATCATATAAATGTAGTAAATTATATTGATTAATTTTTAACTATTACCTATTTATGCTACAGATGTATTTATACAGTTATAAGGTAAGATATTATTGAGTATCACATGTACACATACATGTATTTTTATGTGAACATTTTGGTAAATACCGATTTTGCTATCTCATCATACAGAGTACTGTAGTTGCAATAATTTATTGAATAATACTTTTAAATGTTTAGTTTAATTACACTAGTTAGCAAAATCTATATCTTTTTTTTTTTTTAAATACCTAGTTATTTTTAAAATGAATGAAATATTTCAAGGTTGAAATTAGAATAATATAGTCAAAAATATTAAAGATATTGTAAGATGTAGTACATATTTAAGATATTTTATTTGTAATATACTAATTTAATGTGTATTTACCTCATCAGCAAATAACTTAATATCATCTTCTCCAATTGTCAAGTTAATAGAATCTTCGTTATTGTCATCTTTATTATGTTCCTGAGTAGATTTTTCCTAAATTGAGTAAAAATATAATAACTATACAACTATCACTCCTTAAAATATTTTTATACACTTACTGTATTGTTAATTTGATTAAAATTATCAGTATTGTAGTTTTTTTCATCTTCATCAACTTCATGATCCAATTCTTCATCAATTTCATGATCTAATTCTTCATCTTGTATATCATCTTGGTCTTCATTAGTTTCTGGTATAACTTCTTTAACAATAATGACATTGTTAATATTTTTCGGTTCTTCTATTTCATTACTTATATCAGAAGTACTTTCTTTAACTTCTGCATCGGTACCTAAATTAACCGAACATTTAGTTTGTTTTACAAAATTATCTTTTAAGTTAACTGTGAAATTCTCAGTATTCTTAAGATTTAATTGTGCAATATTTATTTCACCTTCAAATTCTTTTATATTTTCATGAGAAATAGTTGATTCAGAATCTATAGCAATTACTGTTTGATTTTCATGAGATGAAATTGCATTTTTTACTCCTGGCTCATTTTGTTGTCCTCCATCAGCATCAATTCCCTTAGTTTCTACTTCATTTGAATCAATCACATCAGAATTAATTGTATCTGATACAATTGTTTTTGAATCCTCAGAACTAACAGTGGCATTGCTATTATCTAATTGATCTTGATTCACATCATTTTCTTTTTGTAAAATATTCAAATTAATTTTTTCAACTTTTGATTGTATCACACATGTTTCTAAACAAAAAATTTTTAATTTTATAAAAACAAATAATAACAATAAAAGTACATCAACATAAAATAAAATACATTTTTTAAATTTTAAGGGAAAAATATTTCACTTGTGGCTGAAAATTAAAATTGTAATCTGAGTAAAATTACTGCCACTATTGTGTAAGTATGCAATTTAAGACAGATCAGTCTTTGGCTTATCAAAAGTATGTGTACTATGTTCAACGAGAAAACACACAAAAAACCAACAAAAATCCAGTTTGACTGAGCATAATGCCACGCCCACCACCAGCCAATGTTCATAATTGATGAAAGTCAGAGGTAATCCATAACTTGGTCATTGAACAGAATGTATAAGATATTGGGGTTGAGCGGAATGTGGATTTTTGTGTGAAAATGTCCTTAGTAAGAGATGTAAAATATGAAAGTAATGTTTGGATGATGAAATTGCAAACTTTCAAATAAAAAATAAATCATCAAACTTATTTTCATGTTTTTTTTTATACACATAATATATTCAACATATATTACAGATTAAGTCAAGCTAGTATAATGTTTCTAGCATCTTAATAAATTTTTATAATTTCAAAAACTTACTAGATTTTGGTCCAGGTCTTCTGCCAATCACATTTTTTTTTATTGTTTTTGTTGGAGTAACTGGTTTTTTTTTTTCAACACTTGGAGACATTTTTTCAGATATTAATGACTTTTCAGAATTGTTAACATTTTTTAATTCAGATTTATCAAATATACAATTCTCTGGATCTTCTCCTTCTTCAAGAAGTGCCTGGAATAAGATTAATATTAACATACATATAGTATTACATACAATCGTAATATATTAATAAAAAAAGGCAAATAACAATCAAAGATAACTAAGCGACAAACAAATAACCTATTCTTTTTACATTGTTATACCTAATGGCTCTCAAATAAACTAACATTGAAATTATTTAATTTTAATAGTAAATTATAATCTTCACAACTATATTTAGAGATATAGATAAAAAATAGCCGTCATTCCAGGATTGAGATTTTAAAGTATTTGCATATTTCTTATAAAATACTAAAGAAATAGCCGAGTAAGCTTAAAACTTGTATCATGATTTAGAGAACTGGAACTAAACATATAATTTTTCATAGGTATTTTTAAAATTTTAGAGATATTTGTGCATTATAACATTTTTAAAATCAAAATCTATCACATTTTAATAAACATAGTTTTAATTATTGCATAATTAAAAAGTAAATATAGAGTAGATAGACTTCACCGACACACAAAATTCATTATTTCATACTTATTACTTAGTACTTATTTTAAACTTTTGCTGTCTACTGGTTAGATGGGGTTTCTAGTAATTTAATAGTAGTTAATGATGAATAGAGACCAGAATTTACGTAAATATATACATTTTCCTTTTCATTTTTTTGGATTTTTGTCAGTTATTTATTCAAATCATAATAGTTTGATGCTTACCTAAACTTTTTTTTTTGCATATTATAGAGTATTTTGAGTAAATTCCAAATTAATTTTACATTTTAATGAAAACTGAACCATCATTGAATATATTACTGCAGTATTAGATGTGTTAATTTAAATTTAACAACAAATTAATGTTTTGGATGAAAATAATTCCTAGCATAAATTTTAGAAAAATAATGATGATTGAATACTTTGTGATATGTACCTACTTATCAAATTATTTTAATAAACTAATATTACTAGATTTTACTTATATTAGTTCTATATGAAATATGTTATGATTAACATAACTTTAGGTATACCAATAAATACCTAGATATTATTACCTTATAAAAAAGAATGAAAAAATCAAATTTTTCAGTTGAGCAAAAGAAAGTTAAATTAAATAAATTAAATAAAGTTTTGGTATCAAAAGATATATGAACCCATTGGTGACATAAAAATTGAGTTAACACTAAACGCACATGAAAATAATACATTCAATAATCAAAATGACATATCTTTTGACACAATGTACATAGTTTTTTTCTCCAAATTATTGTATGTAAATAACTCATTTTACACAAAATGTTGAATTATTTCACTATGCGACAATAGTATTGTCTAGTATGTATACCAATAAAAATGTCTACTATTGTGAGCTAAGGTTGACAATTGTCAGTCTCAGAAATTAATTAGTTCAAAAATTACTGTATGTAAATATGCATGTATTTATACAAGTTAGAAGAATTGTCCTAGGCTAGAAAAAGGAAAAACCCGATTATAAAGTTATAAAGTAGAATTTATATCATACTAAAATGAACAATTCAGTATACATTTAAATACATATAAATTGCAGTGACTTAATATGGCTTAATAGACTCTTTAAGCTACAACTTAAGAAAGTAATTTTGTATGGTTAGTAATTGGCAAGTGATAACTGAACTTCAAATATAATAATTTTGACTTTGTTAGGCTCTTTCTCCTTAGTTTTAGGAATGCCATAAAGGCTATGGTTTAAATCAATTTTTTACATTTTCACAATTTTATATGATATTCACCAAAATAATTTTTCAAGCTACAATTACTTCTAAAAAATATAAAACCACCAATACCATTATAGGGTTTATTTAATTCATGATAAATCTCTATCATTGATGAAGCAACTAAAAATAAGTAGAAATACAAACGACTTTACATATTGACAATAATGTCAATTGACAAGTATCATAGCAGTATTTGGAAAGAATATCATTCATGAGCACAAGCTTACATTCATAATTAGTGAAAGAAATGCAAACATCACTCGTTTTTAAAATAGAACATGAATGACGTTTGTATTTGCTATTTTATAAATATATGTATATAATTTTGATGCTTAAGAAAACGTTAAGTCCTAAATTCTAAACTGTGTTTCAATTTTTGGGTTGAGTCCTATATGTTTATGGGTGTCTATATTAACTACTGGCAAACTATTCATAAAAAAAAATTTAATGAACTTTTTAATTTTTTCAAAGAATGTGAACATGAACGTGAACAAATTAATTTTTTTAATGAATGTTCAGAACACTATTATAGTAAGTATGTACATAAAATTTATTACATAAAATATGAAGGAATATTTACATTGATTATTAATAATTGAGTTGTTGGTTATCTAAATTTTAATGTAATAATACCTATTATAAGAGTACCAGGGAAGGAACAAGGAGGAATACAACATGTAAATAGTACCAGATAAAAAGTGTAAATAATGTTTAAATATATATTAAGAAAAATAAAGTTTCATTGAACGCTATAAATTTTGATGAAAACAATTAAACCCTACTAGCTACCTACAGTTTTTTATTTTATTTTTCCTCCATACCACCAAATTTTTATGTTTTTATACACTTACCTTTTGCAAACGTTCTAAAAGTATCGCTTTTACTCCAGTTTTATCCAAATCGCGTTTTTCTAGTTCAGAACGTAATTCAGTCACCTTCAAATCACAAACTTTCCGTGGTTCTAATTTGTCCGACATTTTAATTAAACGTGAATTTACTCAACTAAGAATTCTAGTATTTAGTATTTGAGTACGCAATATAGTAAGAGCTATGAGCAAAGACGATAAATTTTCTAATATACTATAAACTTATTAAAACTTCCACTAAAGATGAAACCGAAAAATACGAGGTTAAGTTAAAAACGACTCAATAATAAGAAATAGCTTCCTAAGGGCAACAAGCCATTAGAAAATTTAGTAGTCTGTTGTAACTTGTAGTAGACGAATCACGAATGTTCAATATAACAACTCATAACAATTGAATCGTAATTCGCAAATAAGATGTTTTGGTTGGTTTTCGTTTTAATCAGTATGACCACAATGTAAGCGTGAAACTTTTTTCGACATTCTACAAATTTGGGTCACTTCTCTATCATTTATTGTTCTGTGCTTCTATACATAGACATATAAATATTAATTATATTTATATGTTTATGCTTCTATAGATAAAGATCTTTTTAATTTATTTATTAAAATCACTAATCAGCAGTGAGCAGAACTATCTTAAGTTCACGGCCACAGTCACTGGTCACTGGTCAGCTCTGAAACTTAGATCATATGATTAAAAGTCTGAAAAATTAAAAGTTTGTGAACCTTTGTCTTATATTCTTTACTCTATGTCTTAGACTAATTATTATAGTGCTGATGCCATTTCAAAGGAGGTAAGGGCTTACAGTGGCGCACACAGGGGGTTAGGAGGTTATAACTCCCCCCGAAATGTCTTCCTTCATTACGAGCGTCTGGAGAGGGAGACAACCCACGAATAAATTTCTCATCAATTATTATGTCCTTATTTCTTATCAAATATATTATAAGATTTAAATAATATATTATTTTAATTTGATTTTGTTAGTGCTGATAAGGGATGCTGTCCGTTAGCAAGTTATTTGATAAAAAATTTGCTAGTGGGC